CTGCTGCTGCCCCCCCCCCCCCCCCGCAGCAGCAGCAGCAGCAGCAGCAGCAGCAGCAGCAGCAGCAGCAGCAGCAGGAGCTAGAACTTCCAGCGGTTGCCGCAGTTGAGGCAAGTGACGAAGGTGGTCATGGGCTCGTCGGAGCTGCGAGTCTGCATTTGGAAGTAAACAGTCTTGTGAGTTTTGCACTTGAAGCAGGGGAACTGTCCTGCTGCTGCTGCTGCTGCAGCAGCAGCAGCAAGCCGCCGCAGCTCCCAGTCGCTCCTGCAGGCCTCCAAACTCTGCTGCTGCTGCCGATCCCGCTCCCGCTTCTTAGCGTCGCTCGCGAGCTCGCTGCTGCGCATGCATGCGAGCTGCTGCGGGGTGTACAGACCCCACAACACTTTCAAGTTCAAGTCCGGGTTCTTCGGATCTCCCAAGTTGAACTTCAAACTCTTCAGCTGCAAGTTGTACTCCTTCATGTTTTGCTGCTGCAGCACGAACCGGGTCCACAGCGCGTCTTCGATTGCTGCAGCAATTTGTCCGGTTTCGCGGCTCGCTGTGGGGCCTCCTGCTGCTGCTGCTGCTGCTGCTGCTGCTGCTGCAGCGGGGGGGCCGCCCGGCACGGCCTTGTCGCTCGAAGCCGCGGCCTCGCTTCCTGCTGCTGCTGCTGCTGCTGCTGCTGCTGCTGCTGCTGCGTCCACGCCACCCACCAACGCCCGCCACAAAAAGCCACGCGCCTTGTCCCGCAGCGCGTCCCCGCACAGGGGCCCCGGGTACTGCAGCGGGGCCCCCTCCGCCTCACCTTCTGCTGCTGCTGCTGCTGCTGCTGCTGCTGCTGGCGCTGCTGCTGCTGCTGCTGGGGAAGATGGGGCTGGTGCTGCAGGGGGCGGGGAGGGGGCGGCGCCGCTGGAGGGGCCTGCAGGCTGCTGCTGCTGCTGCTGCTGGTGCTGCTGCTGCTGCTGCTGCTTCGCAGCGCGGGGAGTTTGCTGCTGCTGCGCGATTGAGGCCTTCCACTTGGCCACCAACGCTGCGCTGCGCTGCTGCACCTGGGGGTTGGGGTGTCTGCGCAGCGCAGCAACAGCAACTCCGATTTTGGTTTTGGCCAAAAGGCTGCGGCTGACGGCGAGGGAGTTGAGGGCGCTGAGGGCCTGCAGCACGGCCTCCGCGTCCACGGGGGGCCCCTCCTGGCCTGCTGCTGCTGCTGCTGCTGCTGCTGCTGCTGCTGCTGCTGCTGCTGTTGAGCCCGCCTGCGCGGGGGGCGGGGGGGCGGCGCGCGAGATCAGCTTGCGCAGCCGCAGCACCTCCTCCAGGGAGGAAAGCGGCAGGGAGGAGGGCTCTGCTGCGCCGCGCGGCGGCGCCGCCATTGCCGCGGGAGTTGTTTTAGGGAATTAAAAACAAGTTCGATAATAATAAATAGTAATTAATGAATTAAAAACGCGTTCGCGCGAGATTTTCCGCCGCGCAGCCCCGCGCGATCGCGAGACGCAGCGCCGCAGCAGCAGCTGCTGCTGCAGCTGCTGCTGCTGCTGCACCCCGAAGCTGCGCGTGCGCCGGAAACGGTCCCGATCCCGCGGAAAAAACTCGGCGGCGTCTCGGCCTGGAAACAAAATGCAGAAGTGCGCGAAAAAAGAAAAGAAATCCGCCAACTGACGCGCAGGAACGGCAGGTTCAGGCTGCGCCGCGCGGCGGTGGTTGTTGCCGCGGTGTACGTCCACCTCACGCGCGGAAGCCGCCGCCGCCGCCGTCGCGAGTTGGACTTAAGAAGAGCTCAGGTCTGCACAGAAGCAGCAAACACGCAACAGCAGCAGCAGCAGCAGCAGCAGGGCATTTGCTGCGGCGCAGGGGCGGCGCGCGCTCGAACAGCAACGCATGCAGCCGCCCGGGGCTTGGGCTGCTGCGCATCTGCATCTGCTGCTGCATCTGCTGCTGCTGCTGCTGCTGCTGCTGCTGCTGCTGCTGCTGCTGGTGCTGGTCTTCTTCCCGCCGCTTTCTTCCCGCCTCATCTCAGAAACCCGCGCCGCAGCAGCACCCGCGACTCAACAGAAGCACGACCAGCAGCAACAGCAGCAACAGCAGCAACACCAGCAGCAGCAGCAGCAGCTTTATCTGCAGCAAGCAACTCACCTCTTCCTCTCCCCTGCTGCTGCTGCTGCTGCAGGGATGGAGCCTGCTGCGAAGGTGCCGCGGACGGCTGCCTCGTCCGCTGCTGCTCCCGCGTCTTC